TGCAGGCTTTTAATGACCAGACTGTACTGTCTAGGATCTGCATAAAGGTCATGCAATAGGATTTTATTAGTCTAACAGTCCTTTTATGGTACTGGAAATTCTTTTTGCTAATTCAGTCTATGAAAATACAGGGCTTTAGGGGTTTGAGAGAGACTAAGGTTTGTCTAAAAGCATTAGATACCTCTCTCAGGAGGTTGTTTGGCTACCATCTGTACTGGGAAATTGGCCAGGTGGCTTGGAAGGAGCCCAACTCTGAGTGCATATCTATGGTCTGTTCTCTGAGACTGTCGGACAGTCCCTCTCCTTGTTGGGCATTGGAATTCTGTCTGACACTTAGCAGGCGCATGAGCACACATACACACACGAACACAAACACATATCATGCATGTTCATTTATTCATTCCAAAACAAATATAAGTATTAAGTGTCTTAAACTTACACAATAGAAATATGAAGCTTAGGAATGCCTAACAACATATGCTAAAGCCTGTGCCACTTTTTTATTTCATAAACTGAGTGCTGCTTGGCAGTTTATGTCTAACAGTCTCTTGTCGGCAGAGACACTACCCTGGTCAGGACTGGTTAGCAGTTGGGCATGTTTTCTAGCTGTCTGCTTCCTGAATGTGGCTCTTGGAGCACTCACTCTTGGAGGGGGTGGGTGAAAGGTCTAATGCTCCCTTCTCTCTGCTATGCACACCTCTCATCTTTCTTTATTACAATGGAGGTGCCGAATGTTTTCTTTGAGACCTTTTATTTGAGAGTGGAAAGCTTAAAGGTGAAGTTCAAATTTTTAAAAAATCAAGTGAACTTTGTTGGCTTCAGGAACTTTGGGTCACAGTTTCATGAAGAAATTTATACACACACACACACACACACGCACACACACAGAGTCTGTCCTAGGATATCTTGGCATGCAGACTAAATGCTTCTCCAACCAAGTTTTACATGAACTAGACAAAACCTGATTAACGATTGAATGTAAAGGAAGATGATTTTCAAGAGTGACTAGTGTTAACGGTAATATGCTGTATTTTCCTGCAAGTCCGAAGGCCTTGGATCTTGGCATCACTGAGTGTTTGTGTTCAAGAGTAAAACAATCTATCATGATATTTAGGGGCTTGGAGTCATTTCTTTCTGTATACTAGGTTTTTGTTTAGAAATCTAGCCTCTGCTTGGTTCAATAACAGGCCCATGCTTTTTGATTTGTGAAACTCCAGTCTTTGCTTTATAAATATTAGACAAAGAATAAAGATTATATCCATCTGTAAAAAGTCTTATATTTACTATTTTTGTAAAAATATCTGATAAATGAAGTTAATTAAAATATCTCTAGATAGAGGTAGCTGTATCTCAGTAGATAATCTCATTTGCTACATTATTTGCAAGTTTGAGCTCAGCCAGTAGAAGCACCCTCAATTTGCCCTTTTCTCATCTTAAAGTTTATGTCACCTTCTCCCTCTTTTATGCATTCTGTTTTTGGAGAGGATGCCCTTTCAGGTCATACCTGGGTTCTTTATCTTGTGTTCCATTCTTCACTGGAACTTCATTCTATTACTTGCTTCTCAAGGCTTTCCCTTTTACTAGCTTCTTTCCTCGTCCTGACAGCATTCACAGCTGTCCTCTAACCTCTGGTACCTTTAATTGCTTAAAAAAGAAAAACATTTCAAATGAGAATTCTATATTCCCTATTCTGAAATAACCAATGACTTATGCCAGATTGCCATCTCTGATGGCCTTTTTTTTTTTTTTTCAAAATTGAAGTATTGATTTACGATGAGAACAAACTACTGGTTACCAGTGGGGAGAAGGAAAAGGGAAGTGCAAGATAAGGGTATGGAATTAAGAGATACAAACTACTACTTTGTATAAAATAGATAAGCAATGAGGATGTATTTTACAACACAGGGAAATAGAGCCACTGTTCTGTAATAACTTTAAATAGAATATAATCTGTTGGCCTTTCAATCTATAACCTCATTAAGCTCTGCAGCATTTCATGGAAACTCTCCTCTCATGGCTTCCATTGTTGTTTCTTTTTTGGTTTTGCTATTTTTATGTTCTTTTTCTGTATCCTGTCAAGGCTTCTTTATCTAATCTCCTCTAGATGTAGAGCCTCTCTAATTTTCCCAGTTTCTATATTTGGTTCCTCTCTTCTGTCTTTCTTTTCCCTCCTCTCTTCTTTGTCAGTTCAGTCTTTTCAGTTTTACTTATGATCTCTATGAGGATAACTTCCAGATTCACTTCTCTGATACTAACTTTTTGAATGACGCAGACCAGCGCTTCCAGCTGGCTTCTGGATATCTTCACTCACTCACTCACTCACTCACTCACTTGCTTAGTCATTCACTTACAGTCGTTGAGAACCTATAAAGATAAGTACTGCTGTGGAGCTGTGGAATTGGTAGTGAACAAAAGAAAGTCCCTGCCCCACAAAGCTCATGTTCCAGTGAGAAAAGAAAGTATAAGCAAATAAAAAAAATGTGTCAGGTGGTGGTAAGTGCTATGGAGAAAAACCGAGTACGAGGATGGGATGGAGACTGATGGGAAATGTGGTGACTGATTTAGATTAGATAATAGTAAAGTCTCTATAAAATGCCATTTGAGCAGAAACTTAAAAGAAGTGAGAGTGCACATCTGGGGCAAAGCGTTCCTTCCAAAGAGAGGGGAACAGGCCCTAAAGGAAAGAGACAGGTGGAAGAGAAAATACCTCTTTGACCTAATTTTAAGTATATACCTTGTAATTATACTGCTTCTTACACTTTTACACACACACACACCTGTCTATCTATGGTACACATAGAAGTATCAGAGGCTCAAATCACAGAGGGCCTTGTTGGGCATGATAAGGACTCAGACTTTTGCTGCAAATGAGAGTAGAAGCCATTGAGAGTTTTCTGAGCCAAGAAGTAACAAGATCTGAGTTACACTTACAGAGAAACACTTTGGCTACTGTTTGGAAGCAGTTAGACCAGTCAAAAGTATAACCTAAAATATAATTATACAGGGGGTAAAAAGGATGGGAATTTGTAGCCAAGGGGCAAAGATGAAGATTGTTGGCACTAGTAAAATTCAGGATTTTGCTGAAGGTCTGGTGTAACCTATGAGAGAAAGATAGTACTCAAGAATGACTGCGCCTTAAAAACTGGCAGAATGGGATTTCCATTTATTATGAAGCAAAGGACTTTGAACAGGTTGTGGAGGGTGGTGAAATCAAGAATATGGTTTTGAACATATTATTATGAGATGTCTATTAAACATCTGAGAGGAAATATCAATTAAACATTTAGATATATAAGCCTGGGGGCAAAAATTAACTATACAAGCATGTTATTTGTCAGCAGATATATATTTAAATAAAAGTCACAGGGCTGGATGAGATCTTTAGAAAACAAGTATAGATAAAGAAGAGGAGAGATCCAGATGTGTGATGAATTCTGAAACACTCTAATGTTTAAAGTTCGGGAAGAGAAGGGGGTGTAGGAAGGTAGATGGAGGTAAAGAATAGTAAGCAAGAAATGAGAAGTCCTGTTAGCTGTTTGGGTAAGAGGAAGGCTGAGAAATCACTAGATTTATTTTTAAAAAGTCACTGATGATCTTGACAGAAGAATAAAAAGATTGGTGTGGTGAACAGTGAACACAGCCTTAAGTTTGTAGGGACCAAGAGATAACAGAAGAATTGGAGATAGGAAGCAGAAATAACTTTTTCCAGAACTTCTGTTGTAAAAGAGAGGGTGGTAGTTTAGTGTTTGCTGGAGGGAATATAAGTCCAAAGGTAATCATTTAAGAATAAAAAATTAGGACAGATAACACTATTTTTGCTTCTCATGGGAACCAACCAATATAAAGAGCAAAATTGATCATGCAAGTGAGAAGACAGGTGTAGGTGTGATGTCCTTGTATCCTTGAGTATGTGGGCAAGTTGGGATTCAGGGCACAGTGGGAGATTGGTTTTAGAAAGCAAAATAGATGCTTCAACCATTGTAGCAGAACAAAATGCTCTGTATTTGAATACAGATGCACACTATGTGATCAATTTAGTGAGGAGAAGGTGTGAGGAGAAATTTAGAAATTCATTCTAAATTTTCAGTGAAATAAGAGGATAATCAGTTGACGGGGGAAGGGAGGAGATTGGGAGATTAAAGATGAGAATGAAAAATAATTATCTAGGATAATGGCTACTAAGTCTTTTTGGCTGCAACATAGAATAAGAAATATCACCCTCCAGGATATAAATACATGAACATACACACAAGATAAGAATTTCAGGAGACAATATCCTTACTTCACTTATTTTCACTTAAATTCTATTTTAACAAAGGTAGATAGTAACTCACTAAACAAGGACTGTGTTGGCATACTAATGGGTTGCAATCTGTAGTTCTTCAGAAGAACTAAAGAGGACATTTTCTGAAGCAATGTCATAGCAAAACAAACCAAATTAAAGACAGAATGTAAAGTGAGACTGATCAGCATAATCAAAAGCAAATCATTATGCACTCCCTCACCCCAAGATTTCTTGTTTTTTTGTTTTTAATTGCAAGTCTTCCCAGAGCCCTTAAAATGCTAACACACACTGTGACTTTCCAAGGCCAGCATTGATACCTTATGTAGCTTTTCTCAAATTTATTTGATGACAAAATCCTTTAAAAACAGATCACACTTTGGGAAAGGGTAAAAGTTGTCACAGAATTTTGCATGTATGATTTTTACAGTACTATATATTCTTCATCTTGTTTTAGTTATTTGCATATTCATCTTACTCATGTTTCCACTTTAGCCTTTAGCATAAAGTCTTGAAGATAACAGACACTTACTGAAAATCATGGAATTTTAGTGAAGAGGCATGAACTGGAATAATATTTGGTAACTGGATAAATTTAGTTTGCATCAATTTCAGTACCTTTTTTGCAGTCTTTTTTATACCATCTCATCCTTGGCTAGGAAAATTATCTTGATGCTGGGCAAAAAGCCAGTGTTAACATGGGGCTAAATACTTTTTCTCTACAAATCACTTTATTGGGACAGTATACCAGAAGAATATAAAAAGGTAGAGGTTCATTTTAAGGGCAGGAAAGCATTAAACAGCTGACTCTGGGTCCTGGCACACCCTGGGCGGTGGAGAAGGCAGCCTGTGGATTAGTTCTGATTGTTTTCACTTCCAAGGGTATGTTTGTCAAAAAGGTACTCCGCTAGGCCAGAATCCGGGGCCCCCATCTTAACCAAGTTGTGCACGTGGTCAGCTAGTTCTTTGATAGACTTCACCTGCTCATTTAGATAGTGGGTTTCCAGGAAATCGCACAAATGGGGGTCGCCTTTGTCTGAAGCCAAAGTGTGCAATTCCAGCAACGACTGGTTCACATTCTTTTCCAAGAGCAGGGCACACTCCATGGCATTCAGCCCACTTTCCCAGTCATCCTGTTCTGGTTTCTTGATGTCCTGAAGGCAGATCCGTCCTCCCCGCTGGTTCTGCAGCCTCATCAGCTTCTCCGCGTGCACAGTCTCCTCCCTGGACTGTCGGAGGAAATACCTGGCGAAGTTGTGCAAGGCCACGTCGTCTCGGGAGAAGTAATAGGCCATGGACAAGTACACGTAGGACGCGTAGAGCTCCAGATTGA